GGTAGGCTGCCCGTCCGATTCTCACTGGCAATTCGTGAAATGCGCACTGTTGATGACTATCGAAACAGCTCTACAGTGCTTCTCGGCTTTTCGACACAGAGCGGCTTCACCCACACGACGAAATCTCGATTGATTTTCCAAAGTCGCTTCATACTGTCGACGGATTCACCTAAGATTGTGTAAAATAATAGAATTATAGAGTCACTCCAAAATGTACATGAACTATACTCTAAAACAAAATGAAGTGACATAAGCGGACCGTGTAGCTGTTGTGAATGTCAATCGGTGTCCCTGTTAGTTGACTGTCTGATTTTCTAGGGTTGTCCGTTGACTTGTAAGGATCCGTATGCCTCCATCTACCGTCGTTTGTGCTTTCACATTTTATTCTCTTGGGATTTACATAAACGTTGAGTTATCGTGCCCAATTTTCACCCCATCGTCTTACAGTTGGCTAAGCTGATCGCCGGCAGTGCCAAGGAAAAAACCCCTTTCAAAAGGAAAGTTGATAGAGGAACTCCAGACAACAATACATCCAAATTGGCCCGCAAGTTGGCCACTCATAAACCGGCGGTTACGGCGACACTTCAAAATCAAAAACATAAGTTTCCGTCGACCAAAGCGCTGGCGAAAGCCGACGGAGAGAAAACCAATGCTGCAACTTTAAAATCCCAGCAACGGACTCTGACGAAAGCCGACTCTAGCTCTAGTGACGAGAGCGGGGTCAGTGATAAAGACAGTAAAAGCCGAGAGAATAGCTCTTCAATTCGTCGCACCTCAACCATCTCTCAACGTCGTTGCGGCAGTCTGTCTGTGAAGAAACGCACCACTGGGAGTCGATTGTCACAGACGAAACCTCGTGTTATCGCAGAATCTTCCGCTTCTGTGAGTAGTAATGATGAAGGGAAGAGGAAATCTACGGCCAGCATCGAGGACAGTGATGTCGCGAGCTCTGAGTCCGATTTTGGAGCAATGGACGCGCTTCCGCGCCTAACGCGTAGTCAGCACAGGCAATTATTGGGAGATACTCCTCCTGGGGCTGCCTTGCAAACGGCGAGTCCTGTTGTCAGCACTGCGACTGCCGGCGTTGCCACAAGTACTGCGATCGGTTCTCCTGCAACAAGTTCAGAATCACACACCAAAACATCCGTTCCAACCACTAACTCCAGGATTAGTGATCTGAAGGTCGACGTGACGGAGGATAACCAATTTCCAGAAGCTGGGGCGGCTCTGGTCACTGAAGTCAAAGAAGAGAATGTTTGGGCCGAAACTGTTGATTCACATGGTAATTCATTCTTTGTTTCTCCAGATTCACTCGCTAGTATAGTATAGTCTTGGGAGTGGGTGGGTTACAGTTCTGGAAGGTTTGCACTCATGGTTAAACCCTTATTTGGAATCGATAGCAATCCGCCATCCTCGGATTTTCCAATATGTCATGAGATGGTAAAGACGGGAATGGATGTGAGTGTTCTTTGCTCACAAGGCGTACGTTTTCTGCGGTCAGGTTATTCGCAAGTTGCGCTCGCTACAATTAGCTAAGTGTGTAAATTATCCATCTGTTTATTCGTGTTGGTTCCACTTTTGAGTGGCTCCATACTTTACACATTCTTTACAACAACAGTATTGCCAGGTTGTTTTTACTGTAGTCAATGAAGTTCTTGCGCGAGATGATTCTCTAGTCTCCTGTGCATCTTTCAACTTTCAGAAGTCCTACCAAGTGGCACTCCTGTTTCCTCACCAGTACTAAGCACCTCGAACGAACCACTTATGGAGACCAAGCACCAACTGAAGCCCGAAGATGAAGATACTCTGGTCGTTCTAGATCAGGATGACAAACCCAAGCGTCTTGCGAAGTTGCGCCCTCGCACGAAAACCGTTAATAATGAAGTAACCGTTGAGTCAAAAGAGTTGACAGAAGCTAAGAATTCTGTCCTGTCCAAGTCTGAGTCTACCGACAAAGTCGATGACGATGATGAGCGAAGTTCCGTGCACACGATGAGCACGGACCCCATGAAGGATTTACTTTTCGATTTCACAATGTCTCCTAGCGAGGAGAGCGTAGCCACTTCGAGTGCTCCTAGCGAGGAGGGTGTTGATGTAAACCACGTGAAACCATCCAGAAAAAGTATGAGAAGTACCCAGAAAGAGCTCAGTGACTCCAACGACGAGGAATTATCCCAACCACAAAACGATGAGGCGGAGGAGAATTCGGAGGAAGGTGGGGACTTGGCAAAGTCCCTCACGGTTAATTCCACAGGGGCGGTGGAAGTAGATTCTGTTATACGAGCATCCCCTAACGCGAAACTTCGCACACGTTCCGAGCGTGTTCGTCACATCAGCACCAGCAGTAGCACCGCGGATGGGACTGGACGGAAGACTCCCGCGAAACGTGGATCAGGGACACCACTCCGAACAGCGGTATGTTTTCTTGCTCTTTTCAAGGTTTCTGTAAGGAGGGAGGATTCTTAATGACCCTCCTCAGTTCGGGAATCACCCGTTCCTCTATTCTTATTCTAATGTTGGCAGGTTAAGTCCTTCACCCTACACAAGTCTACAAGTCGTCGCCTTTTGTGCCATCACCAGCGATGTTTCAACACTTAAGATGCCTTTTATCGAGCAAATCGTGCGATATTTCGCACTGAGTTTGTTCCATGTTAATAAGCTTTACAGTGGCCAACTAGCTTTGCACCTGCCTACAACACTCTCAACTGGTGGCCAAGTCCAGGACCTATACATTCTGATAATTTTCCCGCACGTTCTTTTTTAAATCTAACGCTACAAAGTTATTTGCATCTATGTTAGTGGAATGGCCTTCTTTCTGGACAGACTGCTGATATGTTGTAAGTCAGGAGGGGTGTTCAGGGTTCCAAGTTTAAACTTCATTCGGTCAGTCTCCCTATTAGCCGCACCACTTCGCTCTCCTCAGTTCGAATCCACACAGCTTCTGTACTTTCTTGTCCACAGGCCTTCGACAGATCACCTACACCTGCCTCTGAATCTCCTCACTACTCGCGATCACCAATTCCCAGTAGTGGCGCGCCGACGAGCGTGTGTGGATCTGGCCCTAGTGCCATGAAGTCCGCTGTGGGTTTGGCACCGCCCCCATCTCGCCTTGGTTCATCCCGTCGATTCGGTGGCCCGTTTTTCCCCATCGCTGGATTTGAAGAAATGAGTTCCGAAACCAAATGTCAGGTTAGCTACTTTGGTAACACTGTTCTAGAATCTTAATAAAAGTAAACAATCTGTGCTGAACCTTTGATACAGCTCAGTGGTTAAGGCGCCAGCTTACGAACCGGAAAGTCCGTGATTAAAACCCAACCTCAGCATTTCGACTGTTCTTGTCTAAAGTTGGGTAACCTGGCAGTATTCCAACCCTCGTACCTCTTTCCGTTGGCATGGTAGCTAGGCATCGAAAGGGTGCTACTTCTGAACGATTTTTCTACTGGATGTCCGAAATATGTATCAGTCCCTCTTATGAGAGTCAGTAAGCCCCAGAGGTAAACTTGTCAGGCGCAGATGTGTGGTGCAATTCGTTCTTTCAGCTGATTGTGCACGGCTGTCCCAGAAACAGACTAGAGTTGACCAAAAATCTGCGCATCGCGTTCAACGATGGTTTCTCCAACTTGCTATCGAAAGTAATGTATTCCTGAAGGCAGGGTGCCTGGTGTTTCCCGAAGATCTGAGGAAAGGACTGTTGATTGAATTGCACATCACATACTTGTATGAATAGCACTTTTCGAAGAGCAAGGAGCTGTTTTGTTACCACTGGCGAAATGAAAGTATGTGGTGAAGTGTAGCCCAGTGAGAACAAGCCAGAGAACCAGTACTATTGCAAAAAGCACGTGCTTTCCTTTGGCAAATAGCATATTTGCTTTCCGTCAAAGCAAGTATGTGGTGATCGCTGACTACCGCCGTGACTATTTTAAGACCGAGGAACTGGCAACCGTCAGCACATCAACCGTGGTCAATCCCATGCGTTCTCACTTTGCTAGGCATCAGATACCGATATCGTCGTTCCCCGATAACCCCCCACATTGTGGCAACGAAAGATTCAAGAAATTCGGTCAACACATTATTAGTCTTTATGACAGTCCATCTAGTAATAGTGCGGAATCAACAGTCAAAATGGCTAAGCATATTACGACGGTCGCCAAGGATTCGGTGGATTCCTGTAATCCACCTGGGATGTCTGCCACTGTAATCGCGAACCAACACTCTCCGACCTTCGCTGAAGTAGCTCGCGGTTGCGCCGTGATACCGGTTGAACAGTCCCTCTATCCCTGTGTTGCGGTCACTCAATTGCCTTTTCTGTGTTTCCGTGGTGTCATACGGTGTTTGAAGCTCCCTTCGCAGCAGTGCCTCTGCTGGTAATACTCCATCAAGTAACTTGGGATGTGGTGTCGTGTCCTCTGTGGGACTTCAGATGTGCACGCTTCAGGGTGTCAGCAAAGCTTTCTCCCTAGCCGTTCGACCGCAGATGAAACGGCGGCGGGCGGACATGCTCCCGGCGAAACTCTGCGAGCGCCGATCATATGAACCGACTGTCTTTCCCCGGCTGCAATGGCTTCTGGCGTTCTAAAGCGGCTGAACAATCATGGGAGTTTCAAGACTGTAGTGACCGTTGTGGGGCTGCTCACAGAATGAATTTTCGGCCACTTACTGTAAGCGCCGACTACGACGAAAAAGTACTGACCGCCAACTGGACCTGCATAGTCGATGTGAAGATGAGACCAGGGTTCGGTCAGCTACGTTACGAGCATACGTAGGTTCTCACAGGTGACTTAGCTGCTTCCCCACACGCATTCAGGATTTGGAGTCCTTCAAAAGCCGGTAGACGTAATTCTGGATGCCCTTTATGAAACTGATACAATACGGCCGACTGTAGCTCCTTCGGAATGACAACGCATGCTGCAATATTTCTTGGAATTGTCGGGTGGGCAACTAGAGATTCTCCATCTTCCCCGACTACGAAAAGTACTGACCGCCAACTGGACCTGCATAGTCGATGTGAAGATGAGACCAGGGTTCGGTCAGCTACGTTACGAGCATACGTAGGTTCTCACAGGTGACTTAGCTGCTTCCCCACACGCATTCAGGATTTGGAGATCTGATCAATCTAGGAGTCCTTCAAAAGCCGGTAGACGTAATTCTGGATGCCCTTTATGAAACTGATACAATACGGCCGACTGTAGCTCCTTCGGAATGACAACGCATGCTGCAATATTTCTTGGAATTGTCGGGTGGGCAACTAGAGATTCTCCATCTTCCCTGAAAATGGTTGAATACAAACCATCCCAGTGTTTTCTATTTTATTAGAAGTGAGCGAGATGGCGCAAGTGGTTTGAGCACGAATCTATTGAGCAGAAGGTCCTGGTTCGAACCCGACCTCTGTCCCCCGACTTACCCTGTCTAGACTTGGGCAACCTGGCAGTATCCCAGCCCTCGTGCTTCTGGGTGGCATGGCAGCTTTCCCTTAGTCCGAGGACACAGGAAGTAAATATATATAGTGATGAAAATAATGAAATATAATATATGTACGCGTAATAATGCGTAGATATCGCATTCCTGATGCTACCGCACACGATAGATGGGTTTCGAACCGCATTGGGTTCGTGGCAAAGTTTATTTGTTGTTCAAACCTACACATTAATTCCCGGGCGTCAAAATCAATCGCTGAGCGATTTCTAGTGCCGACCTTCTTTGACCTGCCCTTCATCGCTGAAGGACATCACCGTTGCCCCATTAAATATAGGCATGCTCGTCGCCCTTACTGTATTCACAGTCCCATCGTAGAGGGCAGTACAACTACTCCAAGATAGCCTCGTAATATGGTTGCCCGTAGTATGGGATCTCGCTGGCATTATTGGCACGGCTGCACTTTGTGGAACCGCTGAGCTGGAGATAGCTCATTAGTTGAGGCGCAAACTTACTAACCCGATGGTCCGTCCTTCGAACCCAACCTCATCATCTGTCTACGATCGGGCAATCTGGCACTATCTGAGCCCTCGTGCCTCCCTCGAGTGTCGTGGCAGCTAGGCACCGGAAAGATGTTACAGCTGAACGGTTCGATTTGTTGGTGGAAGTTTTCCAGCCAATACAACCGGCGGAATCATTGTAGCACTTACATCCGATCATCACGTCAAGGTTGCAGCTTTACGTTGGGATTGGATACATTCTGTTGCAGAGTACCTTGTCATGGAGCGCGTACAGCACCGCTTGCTTTGGCGAGTACATTTTTTACTGAATCCCGCACATCATCCTGAGATCATCCAACGCCCACATTGTTTTTGCTTTTTACTCCTTCATTTCTGAAACTAGCAAGACGGAGCCTGCCAGTCAGTTTGAAGACGCATGAGGATACTACGGCCGTATTGTTCGCCGGTTGCCCGAATCACAGGGAAGCGGTTTAAAGGCGCTCCTGAAGCTCCTAAATAAGGCTTCCAAACGTGTAGGCACCTTATCCTTGATCGTTTTCATTGTGGACATAGGACCTCTCCACACCAGTTCCCTTCCCTTTCCACTCGCCGCTGAGGGCTTCTTCTCTCATGTTTGTGTAGCAGTAAAGCACAGTATGCATTGCTATCGATGATGGTGTGGAAATATAACGAAGAGGATAACCGCAGTTAGTACGACGTAGAGATAAATGACATAGCCAAGTGGACGAAATAGGGTCCATCTCGGGGAAGTGGCATTTTGACCTAACTACAGTCTGGGACGAGGAGTTGAGCACTTTTCTGAAGACGGAAGGATGCCAGTTTATTAGCAGCACGAAAGTCAAGGTGTGATCAGCGTTCTGCGAGCTGACAACCCCACTTCCCAGTAGTGACGCTGATCCATGCAACCGGTCTCCAGCCAATCACCAGGATATTTCACTGCATACATCTCGGGCTTCGCTTATCCAGTCGGCAATGCTCAGTTGTTCTAGTCAGAACGACACTCTGACACAATCACCGACTTCGAAGGAGCAAAGATCGACCGCACCCAGGAGCTGCAGAGCCAATCAGATAATGAAGTACACCTGAACATCTAGTGGAGCGTGTGAAGAGTGGTGTACGATTGCTGTTCGTTTTGCAGAATCCCATGGTTTTGCATTAGTGAACAAATTCATCAATTGCGGAGGGTACGACACTGGCGGCGGAAAGAAATTGTTTGCTTCACAAATAAGGGAGTAGTTTCGAAGCAAGAGATAAAATTATCTACCAATCTTGTATCTCGTAGTGCTTTCGTTCGAACGTCTTCGACATCTATCGAATTGCCAGCCATAGGTCTACAACTCTGGTCATTCTGTGGAAATCTGTTGACTGTTGTTCTTTTACGGATTTGAGTGAAAGAGAGTCTTTGGTGCTATATATTATCATTGGGAAAGCCGCAGTGTATAAACCGATTAGTGGAGTGTTCCGGTAGAGTGAAAGATCTTTCACGTTTCCGACGTAGCACAATCGTTGAAATCTGGCTTGTCTATGGCAACACGCTCCTTATGCTTCTACGAGATACGGTCCACGTAATTTACCTGGCCATTGTTTAGAGCACCTTTCTCAACCAAAGGCGTTTGACAGAGCTCTTCGGTCTTCACTACACGGATTTCTTTCTTCCATCGCTGCTCTCGACGGGGCAGACAGTAGGCCCCATGAGGGCTGTTGTCACTGCTTAAACAGTTGACGCGCTTCTCCGTCGAACGAAATCGCCGAGCCAGATCAAACGAACTGTAGTAGTCTTCGAGAACCGCAAGACATATGTGTTCGTACAGCCTTTGAGTTAAAGTCTTCCTCGCTTGGTCACCTAGAAATGGAAATGTCTCAAAAGTGGCGCGGAGCTCTAGGCATTGCCTTCAAGATGCAAACGTTCAGTATCTTCTTTTAGCTAGACGGGTAAATGTTAGCACTCTCCTATGTACGTTTATGTGCACCGAGACATTTCTTTATTTCTTCAAAGGATCACATTTCAACACAGTTTATTATCCTAACTGAGGTGTGCGCTTCGAGGCGCCACTTTAAATGCCTGGGTCGTTGATCATATTGCTAGCTTAACGAGTGGCGCACAGTAATTGCCGCTCTGGTTATCAATCAGTCGAAAACGGCAGCTCTCTGAGCGACCGAACCGTCGTTTTTTTTTAAAATTTTACTGAGCCATATACGAACTTTGCAAATATTTCTGTACGCAATGGTTCCCGAGGTGAAATCAGTAGGTGCACCTCTGAAGCCTTGTGGATTTTCTAAAGGCATATGTGAGTATCCTTAGTCTCGTTGTGAATCACTAAGCTATCCATCTAATGACATCCTGGAGTGATCTTTTGTTGTAAAAAGGCCACTATTTATAACACACTCGAGCTGTGGGACGTTATTATCTTTCTGATGTGATATTACCGACCGTACACTAGTGTTTCACCTGGAGGCGTTTATTCTACTTTCGTTTCGTTACGAATTCATCGTTTACCTGTTTCAGCTCCTTCAGGAACGCATGCAACGCATCTTGGAGGCTTGGCGTTCTGCGAAGCAGTATTTAAAAGATCTCGATCAGCGCACAAATCGTTCGCGGCGTATTCGTGCCAGACAATCGGTCACCGAGCCACCACCAGCAGCCACAGCACCACAAACCTCCATGAGACAATGTAACGCTGAGGAGATTCAGAAGCAAGATGAATCATTCAGTGATGTTACTGTCACGGAAGGCCCGCCAGAACGGGCAGCTGCTGTACATTTTCCGTAACATCGTTTCTTGCATCCTTGTTTATCGTTATTGGTTACCTGAATCTTTTATTATGCACAGGCCGTCTATCTTCTTTATCCTTTTGAACTGTATTCTGGTGATGTCCTTGTATATATGTATTCACTATGCCCCAAACACACAAAGATTGCACCATACACCTGACTCCAGTTCTCAAGCTGACATTATGGTTGGGCATTCTGGTCCAAGTAGAAACGCTGTATCGATCGCATTAGCCGGCAAACTCGACTTGATGCCGAAGATCAAATCAATTGGCTGTTGTATCACTTCGGTGTCCAGCCGTCCCATAAGCCGAGGCGAAAGCAGAGGATAAAGGGATTCTGCTAAGTTGTTCAAGTTTATGGACACAAGCCATATATAAGCTAGGGATGACTCTGATATGGTTGATTTCTACAAACTCAGCCTTAAGTCCGTCTTGGTTCTCATCAAGTGGATGTGAGGGGACCTAGCACTTTAGCAAACACTACGGCAGCCTACCTAATAAGAGGCCGAACTACGTAGCAGTAACCTAAGAAGTACGTGAGGTAGAACTAATTGCTTATAGCGAACGCACTGTCATTTTGGTAAACCGTTGTTGCTCAGTTTTCACTCTACTGGAACACAATGCGATCATAGAGCACTTATTAAGACAGTCATGCTTCGCACTTAGGCCTATGCAATAGGTGACCTTCGTTGTTGAAGCCAACAAGCACCCTGCGGCGTACAATGACAAGCCATGGCATGGTTCTTTGTTCCCTAAGCCAGAAATACCCGGTCTACCGTTTTGACTTAGATCCGTAGATCGGAAAAAGTGCAAGCAGACTAAAATCCAACACGGTGTCTTTCTATATCCGTCGGCCTCGTAAATATCGTAACAAAATACTAGGACGAACGGGTATGCGCATCACCACAGAATCTGCGCTGCCAGTTCGGTCGTTCTCCAACAGTTATGTCAGCCGCCTTACATGAGTTCGCACTAATCACAAACAAATGCACAAGTGGCGAAACCTTTAAAGGGCGCAGTGGCACATTACTCTTTGAAGTTCTCATAGTGAGGAAAACGCTGAACGAATAACAAAATCCTAACATTAACATAAGGTTGACGGAAACCCGGGGAATGCGCCTACCTGATGAGCCCCAAGAAGGGTGAAACCGGTCGTGGGCTGTCGAGGGATTCTCAGCAACCTTACGAGTAGTACACTACAAAATGCTAAACCAATTTCTAAATAGGGCTTTGGTCATGGGATGTGTAGGATCGGATGAGCTTTAGGACTAAAACGGCCACTTGCATGAATTGAAGATCGGCCGAACAACCGTCTTAAGAGGTCTCGCCGGTGCAGGATGCAATCGACAAACAGGATTAGGCATTCCAAGGTATTCGAAATGTCCTACTGATAAGGTTGCTGAAAACCTGTCGACAGCCTACGACCGGTTCCGCCCTTTTTGGGGCTCATCAGGTAGGCGCAGTCCCCGGGTTTCCGAGAGATTCAGCTGGGTTCCAGGTGAGTCTCTCGAAAATTAGTTTGCAAATGAGTTTGACGGAAACCCGGGGACTGCGCCCACCTGATGAGCCCCAAAAAGGGCGAAACCGGTCGTGGGCTGTCGACGGATTTTCAGGAACATTATGAGTAGTATATTACAAAGATTTACATGTATCACGATATCTCGAATATCATAGCGACTGAAACATGAGGCGGCCTGGTGCAGCACATTCAGTTGCCTGAGAACATCACAGATGAGAGATTCAGCTGGGTTCCAGGTGAGTCTCTCCTATAACCAAATTAGTTTGTCAATGAGTGTATATTCGCTATTTGAAATGTCACCTGTATATTAGTCGCTTGGTGTTCGTACCAAGGACGGTCCGAATGACCAGTCGAACGACCACAAGGTGCTAGTACAGAGGGAGCCGTCCATGTAGACTCGTTAGAGGAACAAAGCTTGCCTCTGAAATTCTTCCCATCAGTGATCACCCTGGAGTAGGTTCCAACATAATTGAAAACGGTGTCTACGGCGTCACATATGTTATGGGCGAATACCTACTCCCCTTAACGTAACTTCCGGAATCAACCCTATAAATGAACGCTAATTGTGGGAATTCGATAGGTCAAAGAGTGCACTGTCAATGTCAGGAGGTGCCAATGCGAGTTGCTAGGTTAAACCATCTTTTTCCTGACAATCTGTTCTACTACTTCTGACGTTTCTACAAACTTGCCGGTGAAGACATACCGGAATTCAAATAGACGCTCTGTCAAAATAAGAACTTACAGTAGGTGGAATACACTATTTCTAGACTGCCTGCTGTAGTGTGCCTACCGTGATCATTTTTCCCAGCTGGCTTTACTTCTGAAAGCGACAGTTTCGCACTCGACAGCTCCCCTTTGTGGAATAAGAAATGATTTAGCCCCAACACGACGTGGATGCCGTTGGTATTTTGGACCCCCTGGTCTACACGGCACTGGTCACGCAAAGTTAATTTTAGTGCAGATGACGCTGTTTGATAGCCACACAGATTTAAAGCAGGCCAGATGAATGTAGTTTGTCCGCTGACAGATTGTTGAGACTTTACACTGTATCAAAAGTAGTCGGACGCTTTCAAGAATAGCTTAGCGTAAACCTTGTGTCGTCAGGCGCAGAGATACACCGACAGAGTCCACTAGGATAGGCAAAACCGAAGATGGACACGGAAGCACTGATAACCGTCCCATATGTGAAAGATCGACGGATCAGTGATCTCCTGTTCATTACACATCCCAATTTCCAACACTTCACCATAAATGTATCTTACCTAAATACTGACAAGATTTCTTCTGGCCACTTCTATGTGAATGGTATCGATCGGCGAAATGATCTTCGCATGATCCAATATTTCGCCTTCAGCTTAACCAACACGGCCTAACTTTCCGGACCCGGTGGTATGTATAGCCACAACCACCCAGTTGTGACACCCTTTTGGTGTCTTACTGCCTTGCCGCCCGAAGGGAACACCAGGGCTGGGATACTGCCAGCTTGCTCAAGCCTAGCCAGGTAAACTAGCCAATCCAGCACACAAGATCGGTAAGCATGTGTACACAGAGACTATTTAGCTGACACTAATGAACTGGTGTACGCAGAAGGTGGCGCTAGAGTCAAAGGTAATTATAAATCTACGTCTAGAATCTGCCCGTCGTTCCTTGTGTCATAGTGTAAACTTGCACTGAGTTTATAACCGCCTGATGCATGTGTCTTTAGAACTAATCCATCTTTTTAAGTTCACATTACTCTCGTTTGATTAGTCTTCATCCCGTCCTAGTGCAATTATTCTGGCAAGTTCAGACCGGATGCGGGAAGCAGTGGACCCGGGTTTCGCCCATCAGCGGTCATATCCTTGGTCGTCCCGGGGATTGATCCGCTAAAAAAGCGTCAGTTCGAGACGCGGTTTCCACTTACGGAATGTGAGCTACTGGTGAGGTCAATTTACCTTATCAGGGATTCAAGACGTAGGGCCGTCCCCATCACTGTGGTAGATAACACAAATCTCTTATAGCACAAGCCTCTTCAGCTATGTACACTTTATTCGAAAAGCTGGAATACGTACACAAAAGTTACACTCGGGTGATTCATGTTGTCAGACCCGAAATACTCCACCGCGGCTTCTTTTCTCCGGAGCAGCAATCAACAGAATCCGCGTTGGCTTCTTTACGGGCCAACATAAGCTGAAATTCAGCACAGTACATGTCCTTATACGGAGCGACATCACGAACAAAGCGGAAATTCCACGACTTGACAGTCATCGATGCTTCATTTGGCGCAGCTTCTCCGAACAAATCCACGCAATGCAGAGCGTTGGCGATGCGCTGTTTCACTGTATCTTCGGATTCTATGTGGCGTCGAAGAAAACAGTAGCAGAAAATCTCTAGAGGCACGGTCGGATCACACTTCTCGTACTCGCCATCTACTGAGAAAGCATCCAAAAATTCCGGGGCCAGCGCCGGAAGATTCATTATCACTACAAATCTCTGAGGTGGTTCTGAGGAACAAAGTGATTTCCAGTAGTGCGGAAGAAGGATCTGATGGGGAACGGAGAACAGGGTCGGCACAATGATAACCAACTCTCTACGGTCATTATTTTGAATGGAGAAAGTACAAAGGGGTATGATAACTATTTTGGAATGGAATGCAGTAAACATAGTGAAGGATGCCCTATATTTTTCATTGGCAAAGAAACAGGAAATTACAGGGAACGGTAAAACCCACACGTACAAAATCCTCCTGAAAAATTCTACCCACAACTTCCAAGACACTGTACCGATACCTGTAATAAGCTTAATACTGGTGGAGTATATTTCAAAATTGTGGGCTCACTGTACCTGTTCGTACGCACCCACTCAGACAGACATACAAAAAAGGTCAGACGAAATTGACTTGGTATCCAGCTATGAGACTGTCAGTGCACGGTATCACTGAAAATAGCCAGAACTTCGACAAGATCTGACGGGAAGATACACTTCGTCTGTGTAGTCAACAGAGGAATGCGAGCATTCCAGACGCAGAGATGCCAATACCAAATAGACATGATCTGAGTGTGATAGTGACACAGCAATGCGGACGATTGGCAATAAGGCTACAATGATCTGGAATAAAACCGTTTGAAGCAGTGAATTCAGACCGGCAATAAATGACAGCCTTCGCGGTCACGTTTGCACTCTAGGAACTCACACCTATGGCTGCTTGTACGCAAAAAGACAAGTATGAGTAATGGGGAGATTGATCGACATTCACTGATCCCTCGTCACCATTTACACCTTGTCAAGGGTTCAGCACGTAACCTTAGTCCTCCTCAGCAATCGGTCCCCCCTTTTCGAGAAACTTAAATCGCCCTAATGAATCTCTTATATTCAATTCCGTCCAAAATCCACAGGCTACCTGTTTCTTATTTTTACCGTTCAACCCTTCCCCCTGGTTGAAACCGGTTTATGCGTCTATTCCACGGATTTCGTAAACACCCGTAGTTGCTCATGAACTTTTGACCCTTGAACTATCAAACCACTTGGGTCACCGCTATGTTTGCCGTTAAATTAAATCAAGACCGGCCGTGGGCTGTCAGTCTCTTGTGAAAGTCAATCGATCTGCGAATGACTGTTTGTCGAAATCAGTCCATTTTGGGTTTAAATAGAATGTAAGGTTGACGGGAACCGGGGACTGCGCCCACCTGATAAGCCCCAAGAAAGGCGAAACCGCTCGTGGACTGTCAGAGTTTTCAGCAAGCATGTGAAAATATACTGCGATATCTCTAATATCGTGGCAACTGAAACATGAGAGGAGGCTTGAGTGCGGCATATTCAGTTGTAGAATACCATAAAAGAGGGATTCAGTTGAGTCTCTCGTGAAAACTAAATTGATCTGCGAATGACTGTACTTGTCGAAATCAGTCTAATTAGGTTTCAAGTAGAACGTAAGGTTGACGGAAACTCGGGGACTGCGCCCACCTGATGAGCCCCAAAAAGGGCAAAACCGGTCGTGGGCTGTCAAAGAGTTTTCAGCAACCTTGTCAGTAGTTTCCTTTATAAAAATCGACTTACCGTTTTTTTCCGAGTGTGCTATTCTACAGCAATTTTATAACTGTTTGGCGCCTTCTTTGGACTTGCACCAGTTGGTGCAATAACTTAGAAGTTTTTATCCCCATTGTATATGGAACGTATTTTCATACATATAGTACTGCATGCGGTTTCGCGTGTTCCCCGAATACGCCAAGCATTCCAAGTTGCTCACGTTTCGCTATTTGAAATGTCACCTGTATATTAGTCGCTTGGTGTTCGTACCAAGGACGGTCCGAATGACCAGTCGAACGACCACAAGGTGCTAGTACAGAGGGAGCCGTCCATGTAGACTCGTTAGAGGAACAAAGCTTGCCTCTGAAATTCTTCCCATCAGTGATCACCCTGGAGTAGGTTCCAACATAATTGAAAACGGTGTCTACGGCGTCACATATGTTATGGGCGAATACCTACTCCCCTTAACGTAACTTCCGGAATCAACCCTATAAATGAACGCTAATTGTGGGAATTCGATAGGTCAAAGAGTGCACTGTCAATGTCAGGAGGTGCCAATGCGAGTTGCTAGGTTAAACCATCTTTTTCCTGACAATCTGTTCTACTACTTCTGACGTTTCTACAAACTTGCCGGTGAAGACATACCGGAATTCAAATAGACGCTCTGTCAAAATAAGAACTTACAGTAGGTGGAATACACTATTTCTAGACTGCCTGCTGTAGTGTGCCTACCGTGATCATTTTTCCCAGCTGGCTTTACTTCTGAAAGCGACAGTTTCGCACTCGACAGCTCCCCTTTGTGGAATAAGAAATGATTTAGCCCCAACACGACGTGGATGCCGTTGGTATTTTGGACCCCCTGGTCTACACGGCACTGGTCACGCAAAGTTAATTTTAGTGCAGATGACGCTGTTTGATAGCCACACAGATTTAAAGCAGGCCAGATGAATGTAGTTTGTCCGCTGACAGATTGTTGAGACTTTACACTGTATCAAAAGTAGTCGGACGCTTTCAAGAATAGCTTAGCGTAAACCTTGTGTCGTCAGGCGCAGAGATACACCGACAGAGTCCACTAGGATAGGCAAAACCGAAGATGGACACGGAAGCACTGATAACCGTCCCATATGTGAAAGATCGACGGATCAGTGATCTCCTGTTCATTACACATCCCAATTTCCAACACTTCACCATAAATGTATCTTACCTAAATACTGACAAGATTTCTTCTGGCCACTTCTATGTGAATGGTATCGATCGGCGAAATGATCTTCGCATGATCCAATATTTCGCCTTCAGCTTAACCAACACGGCCTAACTTTCCGGACCCGGTGGTATGTATAGCCACAACCACCCAGTTGTGACACCCTTTTGGTGTCTTACTGCCTTGCCGCCCGAAGGGAACACCAGGGCTGGGATACTGCCAGCTTGCTCAAGCCTAGCCAGGTAAACTAGCCAATCCAGCACACAAGATCGGTAAGCATGTGTACACAGAGACTATTTAGCTGACACTAATGAACTGGTGTACGCAGAAGGTGGCGCTAGAGTCAAAGGTAATTATAAATCTACGTCTAGAATCTGCCCGTCGTTCCTTGTGTCATAGTGTAAACTTGCACTGAGTTTATAACCGCCTGATGCATGTGTCTTTAGAACTAATCCATCTTTTTAAGTTCACATTACTCTCGTTTGATTAGTCTTCATCCCGTCCTAGTGCAATTATTCTGGCAAGTTCAGACCGGATGCGGGAAGCAGTGGACCCGGGTTTCGCCCATCAGCGGTCATATCCTTGGTCGTCCCGGGGATTGATCCGCTAAAAAAGCGTCAGTTCGAGACGCGGTTTCCACTTACGGAATGTGAGCTACTGGTGAGGTCAATTTACCTTATCAGGGATTCAAGACGTAGGGCCGTCCCCATCACTGTGGTAGATAACACAAATCTCTTATAGCACAAGCCTCTTCAGCTATGTACACTTTATTCGAAAAGCTGGAATACGTACACAAAAGTTACACTCGGGTGATTCATGTTGTCAGACCCGAAATACTCCACCGCGGCTTCTTTTCTCCGGAGCAGCAATCAACAGAATCCGCGTTGGCTTCTTTACGGGCCAACATAAGCTGAAATTCAGCACAGTACATGTCCTTATACGGAGCGACATCACGAACAAAGCGGAAATTCCACGACTTGACAGTCATCGATGCTTCATTTGGCGCAGCTTCTCCGAACAAATCCACGCAATGCAGAGCGTTGGCGATGCGCTGTTTCACTGTATCTTCGGATTCTATGTGGCGTCGAAGAAAACAGTAGCAGAAAATCTCTAGAGGCACGGTCGGATCACACTTCTCGTACTCGCCATCTACTGAGAAAGCATCCAAAAATTCCGGGGCCAGCGCCGGAAGATTCATTATCACTACAAATCTCTGAGGTGGTTCTGAGGAACAAAGTGATTTCCAGTAGTGCGGAAGAAGGATCTGATGGGGAACGGAGAACAGGGTCGGCACAATGATAACCAACTCTCTACGGTCATTATTTTGAATGGAGAAAGTACGGAGGGGTATGATAACTATTTTGGAATGGAATGCAGTAAACATAGTGAAGGATGCCCTATATTTTTCATTGGCAAAGAAACAGGAAATTACAGGGAACGGTAAAACCCACACGTACAAAATCCTCCTGAAAAATTCTACCCACAACTTCCAAGACACTGTACCGATACCTGTAATAAGCTTAATACTGGTGGAGTATATTTCAAAATTGTGGGCTCACTGTACCTGTTCGTACGCACCCACTCAGACAGACATACAAAAAAGGTCAGACGAAATTGACTTGGTATCCAGCTATGAGACTGTCAGTGCACGGTATCACTGAAAATAGCCAGAACTTCGACAAGATCTGACGGGAAGATACACTTCGTCTGTGTAGTCAACAGAGGAATGCGAGCATTCCAGACGCAGAGATGCCAATACCAAATAGACATGATCTGAGTGTGATAGTGACACAGCAATGCGGACGATTGGCAATAAGGCTACAATGATCTGGAATAAAACCGTTTGAAGCAGTGAATTCAGACCGGCAATAAATGACAGCCTTCGCGGTCACGTTTGCACTCTAGGAACTCACACCTATGGCTGCTTGTACGCAAAAAGACAAGTATGAGTAATGGGGAGATTGATCGACATTCACTGATCCCTCGTCACCATTTACACCTTGTCAAGGGTTCAGCACGTAACCTTAGTCCTCCTCAGCAATCGGTCCCCCCTTTTCGAGAAACTTAAATCGCCCTAATGAATCTCTTATATTCAATTCCGTCCAAAATCCACAGGCTACCTGTTTCTTATTTTTACCGTTCAACCCTTCCCCCTGGTTGAAACCGGTTTATGCGTCTATTCCACGGATTTCGTAAACACCCGTAGTTGCTCATGAACTTTTGACCCTTGAACTATCAAACCACTTGGGTCACCGCTATGTTTGCCGTTAAATTAAATCAAGACCGGCCGTGGGCTGTCAGTCTCTTGTGAAAGTCAATCGATCTGCGAATGACTGTTTGTCGAAATCAGTCCATTTTGGGTTTAAATAGAATGTAAGGTTGACGGGAAACGGGGACTGCGCCCACCTGATAAGCCCCAAGAAAGGCGAAACCGCTCGTGGACTGTCAGAGTTTTCGGCAAGCATGTGAAAATATACTGCGATATCTCTAATATCGTGGCAACTGAAACATGAGAGGAGGCTTGAGTGCGGCATATTCAGTTGTAGAATACCATAAAAGAGGGATTCAGTTGAGTCTCTCGTGAAAACTAAATTGATCTGCGAATGACTGTACTTGTCGAAATCAGTCTAATTAGGATTCAGTTGATCTCTCGTGAAAACTAAATTGATCTGCGAATGACTGTACTTGTCGAAATCAGTCTAATTAGGTTTCAAGTAGAACGTAAGGTTGACGGAAACTCGGGGACTGCGCCCACCTGATGAGCCCCAAAAAGGGCAAAACCGGTCGTGGGCTGTCAAAGAGTTTTCAGCAACCTTGTCAGTAGTTTCCTTTATAAAAATCGACTTACCGTTTTTTTCCGAGTGTGCTATTCTACAGCAATTTTATAACTGTTTGGCGCCTTCTTTGGACTTGCACCAGTTGGTGCAATAACTTAGAAGTTTTTATCCCCATTGTATATGGAACGTATTTTCATACATATAGTACTGCATGCGGTTTCGCGTGTTCCCCGAATACGCCAAGCATTCCAAGTTGCTCACGTTTAATTGAACAAAATCTAGAGACTTACAGTTTCCCTTCGCCCCCATTGGTCGAAATTAGCTGACCGCTCAACGCTGTTCTACACAGTGTTTGTCTGGAAAAAGAGTCCCTCAATTATGGATGGCGTTAGGCCCCCAATTGTACATAGGTTCCAAAAATTGCTTTTACATAGTGAGCTGGTGTTACTGTGAGGATAAACTGGACCTTTCGAGTTTCTCGTTTCCTTCATATCCTCCTACCTCGCGAATAAATACCCGCCCGTCCAAATTGAAACACTTTACGTTTTCCAGTGGCTTCCGCTTCGTTTTGTTCACAGTCACATTTTTCAGTAGCCACTTGTAGGATTCTGGATTTAGGTCGTTCGCGAACACATCGCAACCAAGTTTGGCGGCAGGGACAGCGAACGGACCGACACCGGCAAACACATCGTAGACGACAGTGCGTGTGGCGAAAACCGTCTGATCACCATGCTCAGTGGCTAAAGGTAATGAGTGTCGTATCCGTTCCACAATCCTGGCGTGTTCTGTACCTGGAAAAAGAAGTGAAGGGTGTCTTCTAAGATGCGAGGACAGTTAACTAAACGCCGTGTATAAAACAGCTTAACCGTAATAAACACGTCATTGCATCAGCAGCACCAACGACAGTCTAGTAGGTCCCCTATCAGAAAAACTACAAAATCCCTAATAGAAACGACTCACTTGGCAAAAAGCATGAATAAGAGAAACCTCTCTATGGGAAATAGGATAAATTTCAAGATCATTGACTCCGCTTCCCGAATTTGGAACGACATAAGCCTGATGCTTAGTCACTTGCGAAAATTCTGTCAGCGTTTTCGGCGGTAACGAAGGCTGTGATGATCGATCGCTTGCTTCGGCATTGCGGCCGTTATCTATGGCCTCACGGACCCCAACCTACCTGATAAATTTGTACCAGCTACCGACCCAATGTGACGGTAAACTATGCATGACATCAAGCCAAACTGGGATGTACAACAGGGTGTAAACAGATGTATAGGTAAGGAAATAAAAACCCCGTAAAGTAGACCTAGGGAGGCATATCACCGCAGTGATGGTCACTCCACTCATTAGTGGTTCGACTTCAACACTGTAGCAATGCAGTTCACGTTTCTACTCAGGAGTCTCACAAGCGAAGTAGGTCGGGAGATTTGATACTAAACAAAAACTCAAAATTTTGTGTTTAATATTGATGGTAACTGTTAGGCCGGAATCCACGCGGATCCCACTATACCGCACGTCTTTAGGCGCTGCTACGGCCGAGAAGCCTGGCCCGCTCGAGGTTGGCCCAAAATTTGGGACGCTTCCCGGTCCGGCATCAAGACGAGATCTGATTGGTCAACAATCTGGACCCAACAGCCAATCATGACCCAGTATTGGCCAAATGCCGGTTGCCAATGGCGCTCCAGAACGCGTCAGAAATTCCAGAAAGTTATAGCCGCTTACGCTATATATACGAAGCGCTGTACAACTGTTCCTGATTTCGTTTTGGGCGTTAATAGACCTTGTGCACCTTTGGTGGTTGTTTTTGACGTGAACGCTAGCTTGGGAGGTTCAGACCGAGAACTAAGCCGAGGGAAAATACCATTACTACAGTAACAATTCCTACAAAGTGTGGGAAAATAATGTTAGTGTAGAACGGGAACTCAAATCCGATTCTACTCTTAACATCAGACACGGCAATTTATTCGCGTGAGCCTGAATTTCGTGAATTCCGCGCGAAATAAGGACAGCGAAAATCGATAAGCCTTTAACTACCATGGTAATTTATCAATAATTCATTTAGGTGAATATTTTTCTCTACAAACAGATTGTCCATACTGAGGGAAGTTTGTTGATTCATTCCTCTCAGGGTAGTGTACTTTTCAAGTGGCTACAGCGCGAATTTACTAACCGGAAGGTCCGTGGTTCGAACCCAACCTCTATCTCTCGACTTCCCATGTGTAGGCTTGGGCAACCTGGCAGTATCCCAGCCCTCGTGCCTCCTTTGTATGGTATGGCAGTTAGGCACCGAGAGGGTGCTGCAGCTGAACCAGCACACTTTCCGCCAAGGTTTTCTTAGCCCTGGAGTGCTACTTTAATTGATGTCAGTAGTTAGGAACGTGGATTAAAATTCTAAAATCATGAAACCGAGTCGCAGAGGTCTGCCATGGAAAACAAATTTGCGGCATCCGATGCGTCCATCTTGCGAGCAGGTAATGCTTTAGGCATCATTTTATTGTCCTTTATCGTACAAGTTCGCTACAGCCCTCCATTTCCAAAGTAAATAACCTAAGGCATATGATGATGGAGCGCATCGGTTAAAATTAACTCACTTTATTAAATCGGATAATTTTATGTTGATCGTTCAACAAGCCCTGGTTCAGAATACGACGCAGCATGTAAACTATCCAGCTGCATCACGAAGATTACTCATTTCCAAGACGTAGCACATACAAGCCATTAAGTTTGGTGAACATCCTAAATGAGACATTCATTCGAAACCCGTAAGCATCAAGCCTGTAGATAAAGCGCATCAAACGCTTAATCAGAAGGGTGCACAAGTAATATTCCAACAAAAGGATAACACACTCACCCAACCTCGAATTCCAGTACACCTTAGACATGTCCAAATGAAAAGACAAGTTGTTTTCTCTTACAACAGTTACGTAGTTCGGTTCACCAGCCATCAATTCCATCTCGAATGTTCGGTAGTCCGACTCGATTGCAGAAGCTTTGTGGATCACAGTGCGGATATTAGGAAGTTTGTCCAGAGCAAGCTGACCTGTATTAGGGAATCAATAAGAAATGGCAAAAGCATTCGAGCATATTGTGGAAGGGAACCAAAGACATTTAGTGCACAGTTGACCAGAATCACCGAAAAATATCCAGACTAATACCACATGGGACGACAGCGGCAGACTCCGTAGGAATAGAGACTAGAAGTATGTCCGGAGGCCGGAAGTCCCTAATAACCAAACATTACATCATTTGGACGGATGTGCCACGTGCAGGATATGGACTAAACGAAGGCATATCCTGATTGGCCAGAATGCCAGCCAACCCGGATCGGGCATCTTTAACTCGACGCTTCTCACGGAGATTCCAGCATGACCTTGTGGAACACTGTCATTGCCCAATGAATACGAACATGCCTATCTGGGATCTGGGATCCTCCACCTCGGAATTATCTCACGTCGTCTGGTGTCCCATGCGACATCGTCGCCTTACGGAGCCTCAGTCAGTTGTCTGAAGTTGGTTTCCTTGACGTGGTCGTGATTATGATCTTATTTGTGTCTCGCATTTGACATATTCGACTCTGCGTCCACCGTGGAAAGCATCCTCGTATCCCTCTGTGTGACTGCTGTGGCGTCCCTTCTGCCAGCCCACCTTTCTTGATTTTCCGGATAGCGGAAGGACGATCCGCATGAACCTGTGTGCCAGGAAAAATCGAAGCTGACACGGCTACTGCGGTCAGATTTGACAGCTAAAGGCAGTCATCAAGGTTACTGTACAACCCACCACTGTCTGTTAAAAAGCCATACACACTTGCACAGCACTGCAAGCGCGAACAAAAGAATGGAAGAGGAGGAAATTTTCACTTTAACCCGCATCGAAATTGCACGACATGCTCCAGTCAGACGTAGGAAATCCATACACTGTTAAAAAATGATCTTCGGTAGTGATCAACCGAGGAAATGCTGACGGGTATAGTAAGATTGCTGAGCCCAATTGTCGACAAACTGCTCGGATACATTTAATCGCGGTGGACTTCAAGGAGGCAAACATCATACTTGGTGGGGAAAAATCGTTCAGTTGTAGCACCACTTCGGTGCCTAACTGCCATGCTACCAGGAGGAAGCACGAGGGCTGGGATACTGTCAGGTTACCCAAGCCTAGACAGGGGAAGTCGAGAGACAGAGTTAGGGTTCGAACCACGGACCTTCCAGTCAGTAAATTCGCACTCTAACCCCCCTCGTTGGAGAATTAAGAATAATTTGTAACGAGGTAAATTAGCGGTTGATTCTACGAAGGTTACCTGGATGAAATGCGTGAACCTGACTGATCTGAGTGACAATACAATAGAAGTCTGGGTAGGGATCGAACAAAAAAGCACAACCCCCAACCCCTGTGCAAAACTTAACAACAGGCTACGAGACGTCGTCCCCAAGAAACAATCTACGGCGCCTGCCCTTCAATAAAGCAACTAAATACTGTATATCTGTGGGACGCAGTGTCCTCCGATAAAGAATTGGGCTGTGAAGGTACTTCGCACGGTAGAAATTGAACGAAAACGAGAGAGATCGTTCATTCAATACAGTAATATCGGACCAAGCTGTATATAACTTCTTACAAACAGTTGGTTTTGTGATTCCCAATGTACAACGAGTAGAATAACCAAAAAAGATATGGTTTACTCACCAATCAAGTGGCGATATGGAAGAGCATCTGGCTTCAAGTTGAAGTGCGCCACGTGACCCACCGCGGTAAAACCAGATACCGGCATCAAATGATCCGGAAGGAGTAGCTTAAGCGCATGCTCAAACGAGAAGTTTTCATAAGTGACTTTGAGGCGCAGTGAACATGGCTGATGGACGGAAGGAAGAACTGAGATAGAAACTTCTGGAGGTTCCTCTGCATTGGCTTCGTTCTGCGTACAACTGGAGTCCGGTGGGAAATACGGCTTTAATGAGACATCAATGTTCTGTTTTTTGAGGTCAGCAATAAATTCCGAGTCGGCAATCGAAGATGTCGGTTGTAGGAGAGTAAGTTTTCTCAAAACACCAGCGTCGTCTGTGCTGACGAAACAGAGGGCAAAACAGGTTTGATTTCAAGGTTGCGGACAACGAAGTGATGGAATGCAGTTCCGCATTGCTCAAGCCCACGCAAAAGCAACAGAAAACTTGGAGCTGGAAACATGTTTTGAACTATCTTCTGGTCAGTAGGTTCGCGCCTTTATCCTTGAGCTACTTTGAGAGTGGTCAAGTTATCAATTCTGAATGCTGTTGTATCATAAGTCCGTCGTAGTCAACAGCATTCTAGTCCGGTGAGGCTTACCTACTTAGCGAGAATAGACGGTTTCGCAGGATGGCGCAACAAATTATAAGGGATGGAGATTGAACTTAACGAATCGATAAACTGGCCTCATCGAATTCCACTGAGGGCTTTGTTCCCGACCAGGCCCCAACATTTTTATCAAAATGTGTGGTGGTTTTTCATTCCACTAGTTGGGCGTTCATCACGCCTCTCTTTTCTGTTATTGGAATATTCCTCGGGATGTCAGCGAGCCTGTTTAGTATGAACCGATTCCAACAGCAAATTCCCTGGATTCCTCACAGTGTTTAAGACTAATGCATACGCAGTGCAGGAGAATTTAATATGTGTGTAGCAAAGTGCCACACACACAGAATGCCACAGGCTATTTTTTTCGTCTCCACTGGGATTCCCGAATCTCCCATACTACCAACCATTTCTAAGTAGCTCAGAAGAATACCCGATAAGTGAAACTTCCGACTGAAACAATGGAGCAGCCATTCAGCACGTGTGACCGCATGATGTAAATCCGAGGACTGGGGGTGACGGGCGCTATATCTTGTCTAAGTGTGGGTGAATTACACTGTTGATCAACCGCTGGTGGCCGATCGGTTAAGTGTTCAAACCCCTACCCAGGGTGTCGCGGGTTCAAGACTCCCTCAGGATTTCGCGAGATGGCTCCCCTTGCAAAATTTCCACTAAAAGTTGTGAACATCTCCACACTACCGACAGTATTGGACATGTGCGCCCTCAGTACTTTCTGTCGAACTCAAGGCCCTGCTCAAGGCAAATCCATTCAATGCAACCCAACACAGAGCCCTTTCGGCGCCTAGCTGCCATGCCACTCGAGGGAAGCACGAGGGCTGAGGTGCTGCCAGATCGTCCATGCCTACATGGGAGCAGTCGGGTTCGTACTACGGATCTTCTAGTCAGTAAGCTCGTGCCTTAACAACTGACCTATCTCGAGCTCCTTCTCAGATATATCATCTGTGATGCTCAACACGACTCCCACCTTCAGTATCCACGCGTTCCACACATCCACCAACACGCCATCTGCCAGATATCACCAGTGATAGCCTGCGTTAGCACCATTTTTACTGCGAAAATAGAAATCAGCGGATTCACAGCTGCAGAAGTTTGAACAATTCCATCAAAGAACAGTTTGTTCCAAGTTCCGTATTTCTGACCGATATCTCAACACACTTCGTTGTTCGTTTCCAGCACTTTGATTCATGATCAGATCCGAACGCGAGGAACATACTTTGACGGAGAGATGGAAGATGCCCCAGCAGAAACAGGCAGTTTAAATCATAAACAAACGCTAGGATAAGACAACATGAACTCACTATGTTTTTTGAAGTTTTGGAATATGCACGAACGGTGGAAAGTATGGTCGAAGTTGTTCCAATAGACGACTTAAGCCACGGTTACAGGCAACACCGACGACCAGCATTGATACTGACTGATTGAAGATACCCTTATCGAAGACCGCATCTTCTTTCAGCGGCGGAAGGCCATTAGTAGCAGGAAAGACCACATCGCTTTCCGACATCAACGTGTGCGCGAACTTATTGCACAAATGAACGGGACGATTAAAATACGTTGCATGCAAACGGCAAACTGCGAAGAGAACCTTCCGGAAGATCTGAAAAAATATTGGAACTAGATAATAAGCTATCCCTTCGGAGTAACGTATTTACAACACGGTGGATAAATGAGATGTTCGAAGTACTTATACAATACTTATTACAGTGCAGAAGATAGTCTAGTTTGACCATACCGTATTCACATCGACTTCGTTCGTAAGTCGAGTCTCAAAGGGCCTCAAAGTCAAGAGTCCGCTTAGCTCACGCCAAAGTGGAACAGTAAAATCCGATCAGAGATTACCCATCACCTCTGTGCAATTAAGAAATGGATAGGGGAAATCGATGTCGGAATCAAGCCGATCTTGAGTGGTCAAGAGAACGGACCCGGGGTTTCCCATCTCTGTTAGTCCTCCAAATCCCATTAGCAGTTTGCTCGCTCTGCTTGTTAGGAATGACATAGTCGATGTGCAGATGCATGTGCGTTGTCAGGAGTGGGACAACTATGCTGGCTCAAATTTCCCGAATGGCCAACGAAGAATGCCAAGATAGCAGAATGGATTGGAGAGTGTGGGTGCTTCTTTGTAATTATGATAGAATTAACTTCTTTGGAAACGGGCTACAAGATGGCGATCGTCCTTTGGAGATATTTTGGTTATCCAGATTTTTGTATCATCGGGAAAAGGATATCGAGGTAAACATAGAGACAGGTCGATAATCAGGATCGAAAATAGCTGAAGACCTACAACTGGCCTCATACGATATACAAAATCTTAACGGATTCGGTCTTTAGGGGGTTTGATAAATCCTATCTTTCTGGATTCCTCCACAGCCAGCAAAGCTACCACAGGCTTGAAATTTAGATAGATAGTGGTCTGCACGATCGAACGTCTCTGGGAAGTTTGGACGGACTGAATGGTCTCCTGCTGAAAATTTTATAGAGCTTGTGGTCCTTACAAAGTGGATTTGCAACTCCCATTGGATGCCTGGATTTAACTCTCAGTAAAGTTCAGTTTGTCAGATGTAATCCATGTAGCAGGGGTTCATTGGTTCGAAATACTATAGTTCCCGCCACCGAAAAATGGGATAGCCAAGCAGTAGAAGTAATGGCATGAGCAAACAGTTCAGGGAAGTGGGCAAATACTCGTTGAAGATAATAAAAATAATTGTCTAGTCTTCCGGTGCCTAGCTGCCATGCCATCCAAAGGAATCACGAGGGCTGGGATACTGCCAGGTTACCCAAGCCTAGACAGAGGAAGTTGAGAGACAGGTTGGGTTCGAACCACAGATCTTCTGGTCCGTAAATTCGCGCTCCAATCACTGGGCCATCTCTTTGAAGACAGGTAAAAATAGTAATAACCGTTCAGCTGTAACACCCTTTCGATACTTAGCTACCATGTCACCAGAAGGAAGCACGAGGACTAGGATACTGCCAGGAGGAGTTGATGTGCAGAAATCGATTTTGAACCACGGACCTTTCGGTCGTGCTCTAACTACTGAGCCCCACTCACTGAAGACGATAGCTCTGATGCAGAAACGCCACTGTGTGATTGAACCAAGCCTGCCAAGTTCCTATCAAGGGAGATTGGCAACCGTCAAAACGCTTGCGCTTACTGGTTAGTGTTTTCACACTTCGTCAGGTCATAAATGTCCACCCCTCAACCTTCAAACTTGCATGGGGCTCGAGAAGAGCTCCGTGAGACGGACTGTCTTTTGACAAGTGTAGTCCACGAAGCGCAACACATCCACCGTGGCAGAGTTCCTTCTTCCAAAAGCCATCTAGCGCGCCTCAACACTGATAAACCCATGTCCCCACGACAAATGCTTTGGGAACACCGATAGCCAAAAACTGACAGCTCTCGTATTACCTCTAATTGCATGAAACATGTTTCTGGATCACACTGCCACACCGTATCCTCTGACCTCTACAAATAAACCAACGTCCAATCGGTACCGTAGGTGCCTCGGGTTGACAAAAGCTAACCTGGTCTTCAACAGTCAAGTAGTCCCGTCCCCTAGGAACAGCCCAGGTAAAAAAATATCTACCATGACTCCTGAACGAGGTTTAGGTTGGATCTCATACAGTCCTGTGACAGCATTAAACATTGCAGATCTCAGACGTATATACAACCAAACAGCAGAATTATTTAGCTTATTTAAGATGGCTCGCATTGTTGAAAGGTATAACTAAAGAGGGAAATATAGTCCGTGCACTCAGTGTGCATGTCTACGTATGAAATCTTATTGGCTGAGATTCCCTTGATACCCCAGCTGTGGTGCGACATACCTCACCTCCGGGGAATTTCGACAAGTTTTAATTGTGATTTTGTCACGATCATTTGGGGTTTTGTCAATGTGTCGTTGACACCACTGTTTCAGCAACTGTGTTGGACGGTCACCTGTTGCTAACAAGACCACGAAGGGAGCGAAGTCACCCACCGCTTGTACGACAGCTAGTGAATTTACAGTCAGTATCCCCAGCAGTGAAGCTATATTGGTATAAGAACTCAAATTACGATTATGTGAAAACGGCCCATCCGTTGGCGCTGTGGACGTAGAGGTAATTGGACGCCACCTGGCAGGTTTCTGAGATGTCGGTTTTGCGGTGTTCTTGATCCATTTTGTGCCCCTGGTGAAGGCAAAAACGCCCCTCGCTGCGAAGTTGTTTGTTAACAAACACGAAATAAACGGCTATAAACTGTTATCATGAAAGTGAATCTCATATGCACAGAATTTTTGAAGGCAAACAGTCTCAATCGTCCTCCTAAACTGTCCTTGAATATTGGACAATAATGAACGCACACTGGAAAGCGGTTCCATAAGTTCCATGGTAATCTTCATCTTCTATCAGATGAGGGAATGGGGCTTAGACACCAAACCAGAAACCACTCGCATGCTCCGTCAGTAGTACACGCCGTTACACTGGTAGTAAGGGCCCGGTTGCTCCCTTAGGGCTTTAAGTTGCAGTTGATTCAGAGTGATAATAGTCAATACACCCTTTATGATGGGTCATACCACGTGTCCCATAACCAAACTCATTTCTCTGCGTAAACTATGGTGTTCTGATCATGCACACACTGGATGGAGTCGTATAACACAAGAACAACAATAGGATCTGGTTGGCCAACAATCCGTAATCCTGACAGGAAAGCCCTCACCTTTCAGCTGGTTGACGCCTGCGCCCGCTTTGTCCTCATTATCGAAAGCTGCATGGTACAGAACAGTCTGTGATTTGATGGCAACCTAGTGAAGAGTTTACGACCCTTTTTCGATGTCTAAGTAGAACAGAAAGTGACAAGGCCGTGGCTTTTAGGGTGTACTCACCAGCGAAGGATGCTTAAAAACGTCAACAAGGAAATCAGGCTCATATAATACCAAACAGCATATCATTGGCGATCGGAACCGAAGGCTAGTAGCGCGCTTATAAGCGACATCGTGGCAAAACGGATTAATTTGAAATCAAACGCCGTACGTAAATACACGTTTGTGCCGAAGATAAAGGGTTGTTCAAGGTAAGAGGAAATCCATCCAAGAAGTAGGCAGCAATTTGGCCGCTGCACACCGATTCCCTTAGTGGTCTTGAAAGCCAACAGCCGTTTTGTACGGTATCCTGAGTGCCACTGCGAATTCATACACCAGTGCGGTGGGCCGATCCCCCGCCTAGTACACTCAGGGAGGTCAATGGGCGGTCGAACAGATAAATTACGCTACAGAAGAATAACCAGGAGTGATCGGAGATAGGCAACGATAAGGTATGAATCCATATGTAGGCCAAATCGATAACCCTATGGAGAAACTCAAGACTAGCGAGTTTAAAATGTGCTGTGTCCAAGTGACAAAAGTTTGTAAACAGGCTAAGGGAACTGGAAGTCCAAGAACTATCCTCAGCCAAGGCAACAGGACTACGACCAACGGAAAACCCAAGTGCCTCAGTATCTAACCGAAACTCAGCATATACGTTTGGACATTTTGGTGGAAAAACCGTGAATAGTCTTGAAAAACTTCCGTACATGGCAAATAAACTGAGATTGTGGCAACGAAGAAACATCAGGCCACAAGCGAGACCCTTATGTTCTCGAAAAATCCGTAAAGGTAAGCTGATTTCATTCGATGCCGACTTCGAGTCACCATGATGAAATGAAGAAAATCGACCAAGCAGCGTTCGTAACTCGTCAGAGTGGTTCCTAATGAGTGGTCTAACTGTCATCAGTGACCGAACGGCTTAAAAAGTGATTTTTGTAACTACAATCTTCGGCATGTCTAACATAGAAAATGGGGCCTGAATTTTTCAGATTTTGTTTTGACTGATCTAGTTAGAGTGTGTATGGACAACTGTATGGTCCACGGAAACCTTTCACTCCTGCCCTTCAGCACCGAACGTATTAAACAAGCTAACTACTTATCGAAAATGAATGCTTTGTGAAATGCTCAACTTTAAAGAACAGTTGGCTTGTAATAAGCCAGCATTGTGTGAGGGGGTCAGTAGCTTGAAAAGTTCACTGGGATTTCATCAGAAATCAGTGTTTGTATGTGGACGGCCGATGAGCAATTCACACATCTGTTACCATCCTCAAAAGCACTTGAGGGCCTGGTGACATGAGCAGATCGTCTTCATTCAGTACGTCAACGTTCAGTACCATTTGGTGTTTACTCACTGATGGTGAAAATTAGAGCAATGGACGATTCACGAGACTGTTGTGGAGACGGTCGATTTGGAGTCGGTGCTGAGGGTACGGATAATGGGGAGGGGCTTCTTCAGTTATGTGTAGATCGTCTGTTCCTGGCCAGCACGGACTTCCAACACAATCGCATACACCGAGTTACTTGGAGGCCACCTACCACAAAACAGTCATGGACTCAATTTGACCATATGTCTCTCAGTTGCCGATGGAGAACCTCAGTTGAGGATTGTCGTTCCTTCTGGGATACGCAACTTGATTCTGATCACGCCATCGTGTGGGCCCTTCACTTTCCGCCAGCATTAGGCGTGCCGAAAGAGAGCACCTCCGTTCAGCAATTTTCGATAAGTTTCAGTAGCCAAAGAGTATCGAGCTGATCAGGTTAGAAAGATACGAGAAATACAGTCATGTGGCGACGAAGAATGCTTGGAGGATGAATGGAGGTAACTTAAAGAAGCAATGCTGTCAGCTTTCAGAACTGTTTGTCCAACCCGTCTGGCTCACCTCATTGAAAACCGGATATCTTCGAGACCAGTAGACCTTATTGCTGCCAGAAAGGCCAGACCAGCAACTAACGACTAAGATGACACACGCAGATCCCTCAAACACCGGATAATCAGGAGTTCGAAGAATGACAGAGAACGCTGGTAGATTTCGAAGGCCCAGGACATGCAGGAGGCTTTCGCTGCATGTAACAGCCGCAACCTGCTTCAACTGATTCGACCAACGAGTCAAAAGAAGGAAGGTGTCAATGAAACAATATGCGGAGAAGACGGAAAAGCAATTCACTCTCTCAAGCGCCGTCTTCAGTGGTGGGCTGAGCACTTCCAAGAACAGTTTAACTGGTCTCCTCCAACACAACCGCTGGAAGAACCAAGCGGGTACGAATGGAACATTGACGCCAACCCACCATCAACAACCGAAATACAGCGTCAGATTTCAACCCTGAAGAGCGACAAGGCACCTGGCCTGGATGGTCTACACTCCGCGCTCTTCAAAGAAGGTGAGGAGGTCCTGGTGAACAGTCTGACAACCATACTGCTGAAGATTTGGAACGAAAACAGAGTAAAAGCCGAATGAAGCTTCTCGACCGTCACTACAGTTTTTAAAAAAGGAGCAAGAACGTCATGTGAAAACCATCCATCGACCAGCCTGGTATCCGTCGCATCTAAAGTGCTCTGTAGCGTTATTTTGCGCAGCTTGATGGACTATCATGAGAGATAAATTCGTGAAAATCAAGCTGGGTTTCGCCCTGGCCGAGGATGCATCGACCATATCTTTACCTTGAGACAAATTCTTAAACAGCGCCATTTCTTCAGATGTCACACGCTGGTTGTTTTTGTGGATTTGAAAGCTGCTTTTGATTCTGTCGATAGTCAGCAACTTTGGCCTTGTCTGGCGATCAAAGGTGTCCCCTCCGAATCTCTCTTCCTTATGAGGGCACTGAATACGAACTTCTGTGGGCGCGTACAAGCATATGGCAAGCTCTCGTCTGAGTTCATCACGTCCATCAGTGTAAGACAGGGCCGTCCGGTTTCCCCTTTCCTCTTCAACTTTGTTATTGATATGCTGCTTGAAATTTCTCTGCTCGTCTCTGAAAACCGCGGAGTTGAAATGCTCCGGGGACGTTCCATCACAGACACTGAGTATGCAGACGATATTGCTCTGCTTATTTTCAGATCCTTCCCAAATGTAGACGATTTTAAATAATCCAAATAACTCTGCCGCACGGTTTGGCATGCTCTTCACACCGGCAAAGTGTAAAGTGCTGCTAAAAGACTGAGTGGGATCAAACCCATACTCGATGCTTGCAGGTGAACCAGTCGACGTGGTAGATAAATTTGTTTACCCGGGTAGCTGTGCAAGCTCTCGTGGACTGGCTGGAGATGAGATTATTTAACAAATCGGAAAGACCCTGGCAGCTTTTGACAACCTCCGACACCTATGGCGCCGAAGTTACGTCAGCTTGTCTGTCAAGGGGAAGGTTTACACTGCGTTGTTGCGACCTATACTGCTTTATGGATCAGAGACATGGCCCATACGCGCAGAGGATATACGGAAGATATCAGTGTTTGGTCATCGGTGTCTCCGAAGCATTGGTCGGGTCTGGTGGGAACAATGGATTAGTAATGCTGAGGTACGCCAGATGAACTTAGGAAGAAGGAGCTCTCCGCGATAGATGACTTACTCCCACTTTATAGGCTGCGCTGGTTTGGAAATTTACTCCGTATTCCAGAAGACCGTCTGCCTCACAGAGTTCTTTTTTTGCCCTGTGCTGAGTGAAAGTGATCGAGAGGTGGACAGTATATCACCTGGCAGCAAAGTACGAAAACACTAACGAGTAAACTAAGTCGGGTGGGCTACTGCCGCCTCCCTGGATGGGGACACTGAGACTCAAATCACCTGCAGTTAATGACGTTGGCAGAAATGGCCCAATCGCGCAGTCAGTGGCGCTTGTGCAACAAAGCTATCACCTTCAATGCGTAGCTACCCAACTTCTGAACAAACGGAACATGTCTTTGCCTCCAAGTTTCGGTTGTATTTTCCACTTTCCCGTTTCCCGATAGCGTTATTTTGCGCAGCTTGATGGACTATCATGAGAGATAAATTCGTGAAAATCAAGCTGGGTTTCGCCCTGGCCGAGGATGCATCGACCATATCTTTACCTTGAGACAAATTCTTAAACAGCGCCATTTCTTCAGATGTCACACGCTGGTTGTTTTTGTGGATTTGAAAGCTGCTTTTGATTCTGTCGATAGTCAGCAACTTTGGCCTTGTCTGGCGATCAAAGGTGTCCCCTCCGAATCTCTCTTCCTTATGAGGGCACTGAATACGAACTTCTGTGGGCGCGTACAAGCATATGGCAAGCTCTCGTCTGAGTTCATCACGTCCATCAGTGTAAGACAGGGCCGTCCGGTTTCCCCTTTCCTCTTCAACTTTGTTATTGATATGCTGCTTGAAATTTCTCTGCTCGTCTCTGAAAACCGCGGAGTTGAAATGCTCCGGGGACGTTCCATCACAGACACTGAGTATGCAGACGATATTGCTCTGCTTATTTTCAGATCCTTCCCAAATGTAGACGATTTTAAATAATCCAAATAACTCTGCCGCACGGTTTGGCATGCTCTTCACACCGGCAAAGTGTAAAGTGCTGCTAAAAGACTGAGTGGGATCAAACCCATACTCGATGCTTGCAGGTGAACCAGTCGACGTGGTAGATAAATTTGTTTACCCGGGTAGCTGTGCAAGCTCTCGTGGACTGGCTGGAGATGAGATTATTTAACAAATCGGAAAGACCCTGGCAGCTTTTGACAACCTCCGACACCTATGGCGCCGAAGTTACGTCAGCTTGTCTGTCAAGGGGAAGGTTTACACTGCGTTGTTGCGACCTATACTGCTTTATGGATCAGAGACATGGCCCATACGCGCAGAGGATATACGGAAGATATCAGTGTTTGGTCATCGGTGTCTCCGAAGCATTGGTCGGGTCTGGTGGGAACAATGGATTAGTAATGCTGAGGTACGCCAGATGAACTTAGGAAGAAGGAGCTCTCCGCGATAGATGACTTACTCCCACTTTATAGGCTGCGCTGGTTTGGAAATTTACTCCGTATTCCAGAAGACCGTCTGCCTCACAGAGTTCTTTTTTTGCCCTGTGCTGAGTGAAAGTGATCGAGAGGTGGACAGTATATCACCTGGCAGCAAAGTACGAAAACACTAACGAGTAAACTAAGTCGGGTGGGCTACTGCCGCCTCCCTGGATGGGGACACTGAGACTCAAATCACCTGCAGTTAATGACGTTGGCAGAAATGGCCCAATCGCGCAGTCAGTGGCGCTTGTGCAACAAAGCTATCACCTTCAATGCGTAGCTACCCAACTTCTGAACAAACGGAACATGTCTTTGCCTCCAAGTTTCGGTTGTATTTTCCACTTTCCCGTTTCCCGATGACCGAAACTGTAGCAGCGTGCGTGTGCGTATGGCACACGGTTTATGGCTGATAAATTGATTGATTGATTTCTATTTAGACGGTTGTGTAAGTCAAGTTAGGAATGGATTTGCAGATGATCAGCACGCAGAGTCAAGTGGATAAGTTAATGTGTAACCGTTGACGACGAGATCATTGGAAGGGTCAATCATTTCCACCTGTGAGCCAAATGTGCGGGATTGCTGATGAGCCTGCCGAGGTATTTGGAGCCGCTACATTTGACCCTCACTTGTGCTCCACTTGGCTGCTTGCATGAAACAGTAGACATTTTCCGACACAGTGCTTTTGATAAGGGGGACAAAAAAGGAAGGACAGCCAAGATCTCAATATCGACAAGACGCATCGATAAGAGTGTGAAGCTGCTGGTGGACGAAATCACCCTTTAGGCTCAAAGGCGAGGATGCTGGTTCCTCAAGCTCTTAACAAGTTGAAACTCCGACCCGGTTTTGTGAAGGTTAGGGGTGAGCTGTGGAATAAGAGATCTAGTATGAACGATGACAGCACCCATCTTGAATCACTAAGAAAAGCCTATTTATCTTGACTCAAAAAATTACTTAAGTAAACTGTCGTTAGTGAAAGATTTAAGAAATAGAGTGTAGCGGAGATCAACCTATCCGAAGCTAGAAATGTAAGCCCAGTGGAGAAAGTGGTTCATTTGAATCCATCTGGCCATAAGAGCATAGATGAGTCCCCCGAAAGCCTAATTTACGGAACCGGAAAACTAGCCGAAAGCATCTCATGCAACTAGCAGAACAATGTCTTTTCAATAGTGTCTATTTTGTCTGTCGGATCGATAAATTCGAACACCGTTAACAAAATGTCACGTGATGCTAAATTTACAAAAACAGACCACAACGTGACTCCTCCAAACATCTTTCGAGGAATACCATCGACTTGATTCCGCAGGCACCGGTCGGGAGATCATGAGAAGATCCTCGCAATGGTGAAGACGGTTCGGGAGTGGTGTGTTCGACTTTCGGTTTGAATTCGTCCTCAGAGTCCATGGGTTCCATCTTAATACCGTTTCCATTCATATCGGGTTTGCTGTCCTCTGGACTTTTCTGTTCTATTTTGTGAGCGTTTGATGTTGGTGACGATCGATCTTGTGATCTGGATTGAAGTGGACCAATAACACAGCTTCGATAGACTTGGAGAAGTTCGGACCAGCGCGTATGGTCTAAAGTTGGTGGCGGAGGGCCGCATAGGTCCGGTTCGTACGGTCTATATACAGCGGCACTAAGGTTCTTAGCACCTACACCACGAGTGGAAGACCGACCCTGAAGATGGACGAAATAGAACGAATGTCGTTCACATACAAACATACGTGCCATAACGATTATTTGACCGGCAAGTAAAATTTGACAGAGCCAAGAAGAAACGTAAACTGGAATTCGGGATGCGGATCTTATGTTCTGATCGGAACTAACAGGGCCTATGTGGTTCGCCTTTTCTTAAAACTGAATGCAACAAGGAATTTGTTACGGAAAACGAGAACCCCACAGCCTTTTGACACTGAATTGTTGTGGTTTGTTTGTACGTATTGGTGACAGTTTCTGGTTTCCATACGTGCACTACAGTTCGGCCAAATAAAAAAAACTAAAAGCTAATGAAAATCAAAATGGACTGTCGACGAGCAACCTGCCGGTAAAAACAATATTCCACCCTCTCCGCGCACCCTCCATGGATTTGCACTTTCCAGTTACTAATTACTCATCGATTCACATAAGGTTGCTTGCTAATCCCAAGAGGCTCCAAATAGACCGGTTCTATTTCTGTTTCTCGGTGAATACACCAAGATTCCAATCCCATCCGAAGCTGCAGTATACCTAACGTGTTTACGTTGAAATCATATGAAGGCTAATCGATAGCCTTCAGTCTCATGAATATATCCCCTCAGTGTGTCGCCTAACAGCAACAGTGCTACTGACCCATGCTACCTTGCTAAACGTTTGTCCGAAAGTTCTTTCTCTCAACTTTCAAGTAGCTCTTCAACCGTATCAGATCAAAATGCAACCGCTTGCCTCCCAGGAGAACCAGCAGCTCACTTTGAATTCTCCAAAAGATGATGATGATGAGTTGATGAGTTTATAATATCCCGTTGTTGTATGGCTGAAGGTCGTTTTGAGTCCACAGAAAACACTGAAATCCTTCCCCAAATCTCATGTATTCAAGATTCTGTGGGAAAACGTGAGATGCTCAATCAAAACGATGTGTCTGTACAATTTCTCTTGGCTTTTAAATGATTGCCTAGCTCTGTACGATGAGATTCAAATCTGAAAAACGATTCATCAAGCATTCAAACAACTATTCCTTTGAAGTGACACACTTCTGAGGAAGCCGATCGGATATTCCAATAAACATTCCACTGTACAGTTGCCACGTATTTTTGGCGGAAGTACGACATCTGAGACATCACCAAGTTGCCCAAGCCTCGACAGAAGCAAATGAAAAATTAAAGGTCAATTCGAACATTGGGTGTCTACAGCACTGTCCGATTTAAACGGAATGCACACCGCGTCATACAAGCCAGTTCTACCCTGCTCCTGTTTCCAAGATCCTTGAATCTCAAGTTCGATTATTAAGTAATCCAAGTAAACATAGTCAAAAAGTGGCTAGCACAACCGGAGCTCCTCTGTGCAATAAAGTAGTGTGAGGAGGACTGCATTAGGCCAGGGCGATGATGCTATCAGATAGCATGGATCAGTTCACAATTACCACTTAAATTGCCTACACATGATAAGTCGAGCTTTTCCACCAATGGTCTGCTGAAAACAAGAACAGCTGGTTTGGGCTGTTGATCAGATGGCTGTTAATCTGTGCGCAGTTGGGTGCGCACTGATGATATCTCCTCGTATGGTGACGAAACGTTTGCAAGCCAATTGCCAAGCTCGGCGAACAGATCAACAGCCATCTAATCAACAACCAATAAACTCACCCGAGCTACCAATATTTCGCCACATTACCAGCTGGTTTGGGCATTAAACAAGTGAACACATGCAATAATCGTACCGAAGTAGTGCGGCTTGGAATGAGTACTGTATCCGATTGTCTTGCTTGCGAAGTTGTCCTAGTTGGCAACTGAACCTGGTGATGTGCACCAGCAATCCAGCTATTCGCGAGAGCAGGGAACGCGGAGCCAGATGAAGGGAGGATGGATGGCGGAGCCATGTATCCACCCCCTACTGCACTGGGTGGTGGAGGAATAAAGATCCGATCAGGCCCGACTCGTGGAGTTGCGAGGGCACTGACAGGAGCAGGGAAGTGTGTTGAAGAAGGTACGGCGGGTCTGGCAAGTGAAGGTGGAGGTCGCTTGATGGATGGTGGAGCTAGACTAGCGGGGTCTGCAAACGTACGACCCAATGTGGAGGGTGGAGGGACCTTCGACATTACGTCTTTTTGTTTTAAAACGCTCGTAGTTGCCGAGATATTGGAAGAGCCTTTTAGTAATTCCTTCCTTCGTTCTTCATCCTCACGCTCCCGTTGCTCTCGTAGCATGGCTTCGCGCTCTAGTTCGGCTTCATAAAACTGCACTGCCGCGGACTACGGGTAAAAATAGACAGGCAAGCAAAATGGCTGTGTTGAACTGCGTAAGCAAAGGAAGGTTATTTGTGGAGGGTGACAAGCTAAGGCTGACTATAACGAAGTAGGTTAGAAAGTATACCGGTTGTTGGTGTTTGTCAGTCGGAAATCAACCAGTATATAGATGGTGAAAAACTTTGACCAGTGCATGTAAATGACGGAGCAGATGAAATTAAAACCCACCTATACATGCACGTTCAGCTATATTTTCGTTTGGCTGTTAACATCCTTTCGATGCCTAACGGTCATGCCCGAAGGAAGCAGGAAGGCTGGGATAATTTCAGGAGCAGTCGAGATGCCGGGGTTGGGTTCGAACCACGGACCTTCCGGTCAGTAAGTTCTCACCATAACCACTGAGCTGTCTCGAGCCAAGGAGAAACAAAAAACATCTGAGAATTACTAGTACTTTGATCCCAAACATAAGGTAAACGGTAGCTAAGAAACTCACCGGCCTCAAACGGTTCCGTTTTATCACATCCTTATTTTCGCGTTTATACAGTTCAATATAGCGCTTGGTTTCCTCCACATCGATGTCATTCATTAAATTATGGACTGTAACACACAAAATGCCGTAAAAAACTATTAGCTTACTTATTTCCTCGATTTTCTCCAAATACGAATCATATTCCTCCAGAGAATCAAAATCGTCCTCGCGTTTATTGAAGCTGTATATCAAGAATGAGCACTGTGTGGAAGTGACTTACTCTATGAGAATTTTCTTTCGTAATTCCACTTCTTTTTGAACAAGTGGATCTTCAAACAACTGATAACGAAAATTTACTTTCCGAATTGGCGTTTTGCACTGGACGCAGAGGCCCGATCCGCGAACGAATAGAACTTCTACGCAATTCTCACATCTAGCGGCAAACATTTGAATGTCCGACAGGCTAACTTACAGTGAATGACCACACACGTTTACCATAAGTTTCAATTGTGGGTTACTATATTTGCTCGACCGGCAGCTTGGACATGTTTGCGATAGATCTAACATGATGATAGCGAGATTCTGAAGGACCTTTTGAGAAGGTACAAGGTCACAGCCTTCGAGATGGTCCGACACCGATTAAATTAGAATATTTGGCGAACGACATACGGCCTGAAAAAGACAAGTAATGCCTGAAGAGTGAATATGTATCGGATGAAATAAGAAGCAGGCTGCTAAATGATGGCACTCTTACAGGTGTATGTAGGTGTTAAGAGGATAACTCAAGTTATCTATGATTCATGAGTATATCATTACTTCATCGCGATCATTCTCAAAAAAGGGAGCATACGCTTCACCACCGGGAGCTTAAAAGGCCCTACGGATTGAAAGGTCACGATGAGAAATAGCATGTCCCGGTCAATCCAGTCATTTTGTTGGTTCAGGCCACACGTATATTTTTATGTTTGAGGAAACCGAGCAAGAGCGTCAGTCTAGTCAACAGCGATTGCACTTCGCTTCGGTCTTCAAGGGGCGACATCGTTTCGGTACTCCAGGTCGACAAGGTTCTCATCGGAAACGATAAGAAGACCTTGAAGACCTTCTAGCGTTCACCTCATTACTTCATCAATGACGAAGTTGAGCAAGGATGGAGAAAATAAACACCGTTGTCGGATGCCACTTTTGGTAGAAAAGCTTTTGGAGAACTCACTCACATGCCCAGATGCATGTGAATGTAAGGATCTGAATGTGTTCCGATGTAATTAAAAGCACTGACCGATCGACAGAATCAAACGCACCCTTGAAGTCAAGGAACACGAAGATTGTGGGTCGTCTGTACATGTGACGTTGTTCTAACACCTGACGGAATGTGAAGATGTAGTCAACGCGGCTTGTACCCGGTCGAAATCCCGGTGGTGCCGTAAGGCAACGAAGAATCTGTGACGCCAGAAGCCTTGTTAAAGCCGGAGCCAAACGGACACTTCTGTAGTTGCTACATTCATCGCTCTCAACCTTTTCGAAAACTGTCAGAATCATCAACTCACCCCAGTTGTCTGGGACGGTCTCCTTCTCCCAGATAGACCCAAAGAGGCTAGACAGGCACTAGCTGAGAAGCCTACCACCATCCTTGAACAGAGCAGATGAAAGCTCATCAGGACCAGCAGCATGATGAAGTTTGAGTACAGAAATACACTCGGACACTGAGATTAAAGGCGGCTCCATATTCACAGCTCACTACTTTGTGTCCAGCACTGCTGATCAGAGGTAGCACGTGGCCAGCTGAATTGCTGTTCGAAAACGGTGAAAACGTTCTGCTCCGCTGCATATCAGGAGGGCCATTTTGGTTTCCGATTAATTGGCTGACGAGAAGTCGAACAAATCAAGTAGAACAGTTTGTGGGCGTTTCTAGCACCCCGGACACTCAGGATGACCTGGCGTCGTATGGTGCGTCGGGGCGATCAGGAGGAGTCTATCGCCGGGCCTCCAAGAAAAAACGAAGTCCCATCAGAGATCCAATATTTGGATGAGATTGGCTGGGTTATAGCGCAGACATAATTCCAGCATCGAGTAGCGCCTTCCCAGTGACTGTCAACATCCGATATCGAACCAACCTGCGGGCGTTCGATGAGCCGGTTTTCGTAGTTCCGTTTGATTTATCGGTCTAATAGCTTAGTAATGGCTAAGCTAAACGTCCGCGCTCTGTGTAAACCTGAAAAGAGCAACGAAAAGCAGCAGGGCACAAGTGCATGGTCGGAGTCCATATTAGCAGCCCAGAAGGAGCGGCCAACAGTGATCGCCCCCCACTACCGCTGAGTGACGGCGACGGGGTTTATTTGGATACGTGGCTGATCCGTTGGTTGGCACCACATCGCAAGTGCCTTCCACTGGTCTGGAAATGGTTAGTGCAAACGAACGATCAGCACACAAATAAAGCAGGCGCTATCCGTTGTCCGTGGGTCTCATGTCCGATCCAAGACGATAACCGAGCTGGGCCTAGGCAGATCTTAGCCTGCCTACTTGAGGACTCATGTCAATAGCAACAATAATGATGTACGGGCTTGTAGCTGGTAGTAAAAAATATAAATTGCATTATAGAAACTGTTCTTGGCAGATTCAGAGATGTTTTGGGTGTAAGCATACATAGTAAACATGATTCTTTCGCACGTTGTCAAACGAATCGCAGAGGCGACTGTCAGTGAGTATCCAATGAAGGACGTTTCCACTCGATCGCTCAATATAATAACCATCCCGGCAAATTCAGCTGCAACAGCTTCCGCATCGCCGGAATTTCGAATAGAGGGAAGGGCCAGTCAGTCCATCCAGCAGCAGTACTTCCGTGGTTCGAGCCCGACCTCTACATCTCGACTGCTCCTGTCTAAACTTGAGCAACCTGGCAATATCTCGGACCGCGTGCTTCGTTTCCCTAGGTAAGATCCGTCGCTGTTGACCCCTTTACTCTGGATCAGGCGGAATTCGTACGCCATGCTCTTAGGTTTCTCCGGCAAATCACACGCAGTTTAAATCTTTTCTACTGCGCATAACCCGCTGGTTCTCCGTTCGACTCGTATTACTATGTCCGAAATGTAGTCTAGGCTTCCATTTTTTATCCATCCAAAGTGTTACGACCGCCCTCCTCTGGCATAACGTCTGCAGGTCCGTCTGAACCTGGTCTCAAACAGCCTTCACGTACCTTTCTTTCGGTAACTCCCTGGACATCCCCGTCAGCAGCCAGCCATACATTAGATAATGTCTCTGTCTCTTCAAGGCTGCCAGCCAGCCTCAAGTTGGCTACCACATTCAGTGCTCACTGGACACCAAGGGCTCACAATAATCAAGGTTCTGCGGAGTGAATAATACACCAAGACAGGATTCCCACATTCCCAGGATGCAAGTCGGTTTACCAACATACTGAACGAATCGACACTCCTCCACCCAAAGAAGGGATCGCAGCGCTTGGGCTCTGGCTATGAGGCAACTTAAGCCAGTGTATATCTGGCAGATTGAAGTCGTCCACTGTAACATACTTAAGGTTTCAGGTCAAATCCTAAAACCGTGCGATCCAGCTTGTGTTGCGATTCTGGGGACTCCTATGGAAGACAGTGATAAGCAAATGGGCTGATCCTGGCGAGGCGGCACAACAGTTAAAAACGTCGGACGGGCTACTACAGTTTGTTTTAGTCTAAGTTGGTGATTGGTTAATCATTCATTGACACGTGAATTCGCGTCCACCAGCAATGGGCTCGACCACGGCTATAGCAGTGGTAGTTACGAACTCATTCCACAGATATGTTTCATTTGACTCGGTAACATCTCATACGAAATTAGTAACCCTAAGCTCCAAGTCATCCCGTTTTCCAATTAAACCTCTACATTTTAGCTTGCGATTTTGACCTCGCCGGGTCTCCCGGTCGCCAGTATGATTAACCAGAATACAAAGATTTTTCTACACAATAATAAGCCTTTTGTTGGTGTCTTTAGCGCGCTGCGTTGTCTCTAGGAGTCCTCAGGTCCGGGCGGAGAACCCATGACCCACTTCGCAGCTTGTAATATCGTGACAGGGTGAAGGAAGCGGGTCGAGCGGAAGGGACGAGTGCTGGGTAAACAGTTGAATAAACTACTATCAAAAATATTCAGCCCAACTACCAAGACGATGGTTCCGTCATACACTGGGTTTTGAACAGCATATTCGATGACTTGGGGATTTGTGGTACGTTCGAAATCGGTTTCGTTTTTCCCTCGTGCAAATTCGTGAAAGTTTTTTGCGTTGTTCAATCTATTCACAGAGTACACACGAGTAATTGTTGAATTTTATTACTCTAACAAAACACCTATTTTACATCTAGTCCGAAACATGACGTCAATTCATACCGATCGCCCTCCGCAGCCATTGGTAGACCACAATAGATGTGGGCGGAATGGCTGCCCGTCGAACGTCAAACGCGGTATGCAATGCCACGCCTGCAAGGCCTGGTGGCATTTCAAATGCACGGGTTTACAGGACGACCAAATAAGCCGACTAGCCAACTCTCCTGACCCGTTTGTCTGTGCCAGCTGCCTCTATGTAAAGGGTGCAATGCATACCGCAGCGAAGAGGAGAGTCCCCCGAAACGGTACCCAATCCCCAGTGCAGATGCCGAAAGACCACTGCCAGTGTTCCGCTTTAATCGGGATACTCGAC